TATGTTGATGAACGACTGATAGTTGAATTTTACCAAAATGCTATGAATAGGCCTCATAGTTGGTATTTCATATAATATTGCTTCCCAAAAGGTATTATCATCCAAGGTGGACTGAGGTTTTTACCTCACTTGTCGAATCAAGACTATACGCTGCAAAATCCGGATTATGGCCCTGCTGAAAGTGTTGATGAGACCTAAGGGGAATTAAAACTTCCGTCCAGACTAGATAACAATACTTTTTGGGAGGCAAGGCTATGCGAAATTTATTGATAATCTGAGTTCTACTCATAAAATTGTGAGAAAATTTAACTATAAGTCCTTCAACATCTTAAATGAAACAGGACGAATACAGCTCTTATATACACCTAGTTGTTTCAGGCCCCAAAATAATAGAAGTTAGAGGCACAAAACTAAATCAAATTTATAAACAAAAAAACTGGCTTACCAGTAAGCATAGAGTGAGTTACTCCAAGCACGCCAGCAGAGAGTCGTCTGAATAGGTTGAAGCTGGTCCCCTCGACGACAGAAGAGCTGGATACCAAGCGAGTGCAGCTAGGATCCACGGAGGCGTGATTGCGCAGGTAATTATTCTCAAGAAATGGGTCTGATGAATCTGTGACGCTGCAGCCGCCTGCAGCTTTCTGACGATTATTATTAAGCAAATGATGCTGCAGATACGGCTGGGGCGAGCTATGTTGGCTTGAAGGTGTCAAATGCTGGCCTGACGAGAGGCGGTTTTGCGGTCGTAGGCTATTCATTTGGTTCTGCCTATGAGAGCATGTCAGTGACTGCTGATGCTGTTGTCGCGTATCTGATGTCGGTTGAAGAGCAGTTTGCCAGGATGATAGAGCGGATCCTGGTGAAGGGGAGAGAGTTGAAGGTCGTTTAGGAGCATCTCGTCTTTCTATCGGATTTCTAGGCTGGATGCCAATATCACGCATCTGCATAGAGTAGAGCGGCATGCGGTAATCAGCCAGAGTCCGGCGACGAAACATCACGGAGCTTGGATACTGATAAAAGAAGCAAGGAAGAAAATCATTAAGTTATTACTATCCTCTGCCCCCTTAAATTAGCGATGAAGGCCGAATCTCGTATATAAAAGAAAATAATCGAGGTAAGCATAGTCAAATGAATTTTAATTTACCAAAAACGATTCGTTCAAATTCGTCGATGGCGAAACAATACTCATTTCTCTTAACAGTAAGCAAATATATATAAATAAATAAGCAACTTATATGACTATTAATATGGAAATACAATGAAATTTCGAACATGCAATGAGCTCAAAGTAAAAGTTGGATTCTAAATCATTACCATAACAGACAAAAACAATCTATAAGTTAAATTGGATTAGTTAAATGCCATTAGATCTCAACTCAATATAAAAATTTGATGAAAGGGATGCGTAATTTGAACCTGATAGGAAACCAGTCTTAGAGCTGAGAATGTCACTTTGAGTGAAGTAGTCCTCAGTGCACCATCCTTGGACTTAGAGAAATCTGTGCTGAGCTCTCGGCTTTCATGTGACAGACAGTTTCATAGTATATTAAGTTGAGGAAAAAGACTGGCCAAAACCATGCTTACTTCTTAAAACCTAGTTTTGTTATCAATTTAGGGCAATTCATGACTTTGGTTGTAAATATGAAGACCAAGAGAAT